GAATCAGGCAAGGAAGAGGATAATGCCTTCAAGGAACTCCAAGTAGATAGGTTAGACTAAGGCCAAGGTGATATGGGAAAACAGAAGGTAAGATGAAGGAAAACAATCCCCATAAATGCTACATCGCAATCATTTTGAAATGAATAGTGGCATTATAAGCACATTGGTGAATTATTAATGTCACATAAGGTGAACACTCTTTTTCCACACTACTAGTTTATGACAAAACTAAAACTAGAAGTTGAGTTCCCAAGCTCCAAGTGTGCTGGTCTAGATCAGTAATTCATGAAGTACCCCAGGATCAGAAGCTTTTGCTCTATCTGGGAAATTATTAGAAACACACTTTGTCAAGCTTCATTCCAAACCAGCTGAGTCAGAAGCTATGGCAATGTGGCCCAAAAATGTTCTTAAAAGTGTTCTTGGGCCAGGGAGATAGCTCAGTAGAATAAGTGCTTGCCTGGCAAACGCAAGGGTCTGAGTTCAATCCCCGGTTCAGGAAAAAAAAAAAAAAAAGATGCATCTTTTGGTTATGTTTAAACTTTCATATCAATTCAGTAGATAAAATAAACTTATATTACAATAAAAAAGTGTTCTTAAAGTCTTTTCTTAAACTATTCTTAACATGTGTTCTTAAAAGCCTCCCAGCTAAGTTCCCAAAGAAGTAAAAAGTTGATCTAACATTCCTTACTAGTCCAAAAGAATTAAAGTCAATCAACTATCGAGAAACCTGCATATCCTATTTATTACAACGCAACTTACAATATCTAAACTATGGAAATAGCCTAGGTGCCCATCAATAGGAGAATAAAGAAAACATGGTGCATATGCACTGAGGACTATTATTCATCCATAAATAAGAACAAAACCAAATCATTTGCTTGACAACAGATGCAACTAGAGTCCATTGTATTAAGTGAAATAAGTCAGACTCAGAAAGACAAATATTGGGGATAGGGAGCTGGCTCAGTGGAATAAGTGCTTCCCTGGCAAGCGCAAGGACCTGAGTTCAATCCCCGGTTCCACAAAGAAAGAAAGAAAGAAAGAAAGAAAGAAAGAAAGAAAGAAAGAAAGAAAGAAAGAAAGAAAGACAAATATTGCATGTTTTGTTTTATATAAGGAACAAAGGAGAGAGACAGACAGACAGACAGACAGACAGACAGACAGACAGACATAGACAGAGAGAGAGACAGAGACAGAGAACATAAAAGTGGAAGACCACTAGAAAAGAAAGGAGGGATGAGAGATATGGGAAGGAAAGAGAAAATGAAATAATGAGGGAGAAATGACCACAGTATGTTACATGTATGTACAAATATGCCAATATGAAACCCATTAGTCTGTATAACTAATATGCATCAATAAATAAGCTCTCTAGTTGATTCCAACTCATACTAAAATTTGCTGCACTTATCTATAGTACAGTCTTCCCATTCCTAAGAAATTTTCACAGAAGAAAATTAAAAAACTAGAGAAAGCGCAGACTGTTTCCTTTAAGTCCCGTTCAGAAAACAACTTTAGGTTCATAACAAAACATATCAGTCAAGTACATTGTGAAAACCACCTGAAGATGCTCCATGTTGCCAAGAGCTCTGATGGTCAACGCCTTAGCAACCACACTGGTGCAGATGGCCAGAAAAATTATTTGCCTCCAGATGTCATTTACAGGCCAGTAACATGGAGGCCAAAGAACAGAAGCCCTCAGTATAGCTGGGAGAGCAAAGAAGGAAAAACAGAAGTCAAAGAAAACAGTCACCTTCTTTTCCCTGGACTCTGGGTGTGTGTGTGTGTGTGTGTGTGTGTGTATCTGTGTGTGTGTGTGTCTGTGTGTGTGTGTCTCTCTGTGTCACTGTGTGTATGTGCATATAAAGATTGAGCCTTGATGGTACTGAGCTACATCTCCAGATCTTTTCATTTACTTTACTTTGAGACAAGTTTCCTGGGCTGATCTCAGACTTACAACCTTCCTGCCACAGCCTCCTAAAGTTACTCAGGATTTCAGGCATGTGTCACCTGAAATCAGGTGACTAAATTTATACTTATGGAATTTAAGTCACATACTAAATGCTCTCAGTTTACTAAATTTATACTTAAGGAATTTAAGTCACATATTCCTACTACCACAGCATTTTCAAGTTTAGGAGAATGAGAAGACTAAGTCAACTTAGCTGTATCTAGTTATCTCACACCTCTGTGCTCCCAACACCTGACTTGCATACAGTATGTGTTTCATTAAATACTAAAAGCTGAATAGACAACCCCATTAGTAAAAGAGCAGCTAATATTTACATATATGTCTATCAAAAAATGTGTAAAATAAACTGAACACAAAGACAGAGTCTATTTTACGTGACTGAACATATAACATGTAAAGAAATGCAGTAGAGCACAGAGGGCAAAAGCATTGATTTTTCTGAAATTAGAATCGTTCTGCATCCAGTCACCCTGCCTCTGTATTGCTGACATCAACCATTGAAAAGACGAAGAAAAATCTCATTTGTGCCAGTATCTGGCAAACTAGCACAAGTTAATTTGTCAATTAAACTATCAGTGTAATAGGGAGTGCTACAAACTAACATTAGCAGGTTAAGAGAAGCAAACTGTATAATTCATAAAGAAAAACATAAGTCTACTCCAGGAATTCAGATGTCTCTTAAATGAAGATGAACTATGGCGAAACTAAATTAAAGACAGGGTCTGAGTGACCTCTAGTGTTAGCAAGAAGAATATGACCTAAGTAACAAAACAGCCATGGTGCAGAATTCTTACATATATAGACACACATACACACAGGTATACACATCTAAAATATGCATAAACTTCCTTACAACATAGTTTTCCTTTCCTTAAAGTTTACCTAATAAACAGCATGCAGGATTGTACATTTTTGTCTTCACTGAGCTACTGTTCTAACTTACCGACATAGTATGAAAATGTCTTCTTTTGTGTAGTGTATGCAAAAGATTTGCTATCTAAGCCTTCCTATTCAAATGCCTCTGAGGGGAAGTATGCCTTGTATTAAATGTTAGGTAACAGTAGGCTTCCTGATTGGTATTAGGAAAAGGTCAAGGTAATGCAGAGAGGCAATAAAGCCACTCCAATTTTAGTAATGTTGAAAGAGAGTGCTTACATTCAGTTGCTTCACCTTCTAATGTATGCATTGATTTTTCTAAAAGCACAAGCTCTGATCACCTTCAATCAAGGTTCTTCAGAAAACCACTGATTGCTTACCAAATGAAGAACAAACTCTTCGGTGGGCCATCCAAGGGCTTTCATGAAATGACCCCCCAACCTTCACTGCCTGAGAAGAAAGCGCTGTCATAGGTCACAATACTTGTATTCTTTCTGCAATACAGCTTTCCCATCTATCAACATCTTTTTTAACCGCTGTAATTTTGCAAACCTTGGTATAAAGGTAACCTCAACTCTGGCAGGGATTTGCATCTTTATTTCTAACAATCTCCTGATTTCAAGTCTTATTTCTATCATGAGTTAAATTTTTTATTAAAAAAAAACTTAAGCTAAATTACTGTGACACAATTTGAACAGTTCTAATACAAGGATAAAATAGGTGATAAATATATTGCCACTGCTACTTCCACATGACAGAAAGAAGGGTAGTGAATGATTTTAATAAAACCAGGTGATGTTATTAAACACTGAAAAAAAAAAAAGAAGAAGGGTAGAACCAAACCAAAATCAAAGCTCATCTCTTCCATTGATTCACTTTGAGAAGTTGGGCAATGAAGTCCATTGTCATGATGCCATTTTCCTTCCTGGTGAAACAGGAGGTACCATAATGATAGGCTTTATAAAAGTAATGTGAGGATTAAAATCAGACAACTTATATGAAAAAGGATGAAGTCGATCATAGACACTTAGTGAATGTTTGCCTCTGCATGCTCCAGGACCACTGCCTCTATCCATCTGTTGTGGTGTGGGGTTTGCAAGCAGAAACAATACAGAACACACAATTTATAACAAGCATTTTATTATAGTCACCCTAAGAGTCATATACAAAGAGAATGCAGGACCTTTCTGCTGGTGGATACTGCAGAGGAAGCATCGTCAGCCTCTCTTCTGACTGCTGTCATGTCTAAGCCAGAGTCTCCCAAGGAGCGCAAACAGCTATGGAAGTTCTTCATCGGAGGGCTGAGCTTTGAAACAACTGATGAGAGTCTGAGGAGCCATTTTGAGCAATGAGGAACACTCACAGACTGCATGGTAATGAGAGACCTGAACACCGAATGTTCCAGGGGCTTTGGGTTTGTCACTTATGCCACTGTGCAGGAAGTGGATGCAGCCATGAATGCAAGGCCACACAAAGTGGATGGAAGAGTTGTGGAACCAAAGAGAGCTGACTCAAGAGAAGATTCTCAAAGACCAGGTGCCCACTTAATGGTGAAGATCTTTGTTGGTGGCATTAAAGAAGATACTGAAAGAGTATCACCTATGAGATTATTTGAACAATATGGAAAAATCAAAATGATTGAAATTATGACCAACTGAGGCAGTGGAAAGAAAAGCAGCTTTGCTTTTGTAACCTTTGATGACCATGATTCTGTGGATAAGATTGTCATTCAAAAATACCACACTGGCAGTCTCACCAGGGCTATGCGGCTCTGGGCTAGTTTGCGAAGTGGCTCCTCTGGCCACCTTTGGTCGCTAGCCCCAGAGTCTGAGCTCATCGTTTTCCTCTGTAGGGCCTCGGAGACGAGCAGGAGGAATCCATAGCTGTCGGCGCCAGAGCATCCGCTCCTCACTTGCGGTGCCTAGTTTTGCTGTCCAGAGCACCCGGATCTGCGACCCCCTGTAGACTGAGTTCGACCATACCTGGGAGGCAAGCTTTCTCACTGAGGGCACTGATTCAGAGGCTGGAAATAAAATAAAGTGTCTAATGAAATAGAAGGAAGATTGAACCTGCTGCACACCTGCTGATCACGCTTTATTTTCTAAAAAGCCTGAGCCTCTTCTTGTATTCAGATACGGTGTCCTCATCAGGCATGTCTAGCATCCTTGCTTATGTGGGTAATAGCCAGAGGCAAAACACAGCCTTGCCATCTTGGGCCCATTCCATGCTGAAGTCCCTGGGGAGGACTCTTGGTCCTTTGATGGCCAACATGGTAGAGAGAAACATGAAATTGTTCTCTGGGAGGGCAGTGCCAGCCTATGGGGAAGAAACCTTTGAAAACTGGCTGATAGAAGTCAATGGGGTCCTGCCAGATTGGAATATGTGTGAGGAGGAAAAGCTCAAACGGTTAATGAAAACCCTTAGGGGCCCTGCCCGGGAGGTCATGCGATTACTACAGGCTGCCAACCCCAACCTAAGTGTGGCAGATTTTTTGTGGGCGATGAAGCTGGTGTTTGGGGAGTCTGAGAGCAGTGTGACTGCCCATGGTAAATTTTTTAACACCTTACAGGCACAAGGGGAGAAAGCTTCCCTTTATGTGATCCATTTAGAGGTGCAGCTGCAGAATGCTATTCAGGCAGGCTTCCTAGCTGAGAAGGATGCAAACCAGACTCGCCTGCACCAGCTCCTGGTAGGGGCTGAGCTGGATAGAGACCTGTACTACAAGCTGAAGTGTCTTCTCAAGATATATCCGAATGAGCAAGAGCAGCTTCCCAATTGCATGGAATTAATCAGAATGATAAGGGAGGAAGAGGATTGGGATGGCACTTTTATTAAGCGGAAGCGCCCCAAAAGATCTGAGTCAATGACAGAGAGAGCAGACAGCCCTGTGGCATTTCAGGACTCCCCACCAATGGCTACTGGCAGTGTTGACTGCAATGTGATAGAGATAGATGATACTCCTGATGACTCAGATGAGGATGTGATCCTTGTAGAACCTGAGGACCCTCCACTGTCATCCTCTGATGCCACACCACTGAGAGATAGGGCCACATCTTGGGATCAAGTGCTGGTCATTGATTCTCCCGACAGTGCTGAGGGTCAGTCTCCTTCTGCCAGTGGTAGTTCTGGGCATAAGCATAGTGGTCCTGGGGATATGTGTAGAGCCAGGAAACGAAAACATACAATGTACTGTTCTTATTGTGGGGACGAGGGCCACTCAAAAGAAATGTGTGACAGTGAGAACAACAAGACCCATGTTTTTGAGAATCTGATCATCACCTTGAAGGAGCTGACACATACAGAGGAGGAGGGGCCAAGCGAGGGGCCTGGTACATTGAGTGACCTCTCTGAGTAAAGCACCCCCTAGCCTTCACTGAACCCCCGTACCTATATCTAGAGTTCAGTGACTGGGAGAAGGGGACTTCTATTTGCATGAATTAATCCGCAAAACAGCTTTCTTTTTGAATGGAGGACAAAGGGCCTGGAGAAGAAAGGATGTGGCATATCAGGGTGGTAGAAGGGGAAGGACTGACTGTTGTCCTTTGTCTCTCTGCCTGCTGGCTAAGTGTATATTTTCTGTGTGTGCCCATTTCCTTGATGACTTTATTCTCTTTGTGAAAGTGTTATACAATTCATTGTTAAATTTTCAAATAATACAGAAAAATATAAAAAGTAAAATACAAATTACCCAAAACTGTCCACCCTTATATAACTATTGTCAGCCCTTTGGTGAATGTTCTAGAGTTTTTCCTATATCTATGTACCCAGATAGATATATGTACAGATAAAAATGATCAATGTAAGTGATGTTGTATATGCTGTATTTTTTCACTAAGCAAAATATGTTGTGGGCTTCTATGTCAATAAATATATGTCTCTATATCAAAAAAAAAAAATACCACACTGTGAACGGCCCCAATTGTGAAGTGAGGAAAACCCTGTCCAAGCAGAAGATGGCTAGTGCTTCATCCAAACAAAGAGGTCGAAGTGGTTCTGGAAATTTTGGTGGTGGTTGTGGAGGTGGTTTTGGTGGCGATGTCAGTTTTGATCGTGGAGGAAATTTCAGTTGTCAAGGTGGCTTTGGTGGCAGCCATGGTGGGGGTGGATATGGTGGCAGTGGAGATGGCCTCAATGGATTTGGTAATGATGGAAACAATTATGGAGGTGGTAGAGACTATAATGAATTTGGCAATTACAACAGTCAGTCTTCAAATTTTGGACCCATAAAAGGAGGAAACTTTGGAGACAGAAGCTCTGGGCCATGTGGTGGTGGAGGCCAATATTTTACCAAACCACAGCAAGGTGGCTATGGTGGCTCTAACAGCAGCAGTAGCTATGGCAGTGGTGGAAGGTTTTAAACACTTCCAGGAAACAAAGCTTAGCAGGAGAGGAGAGCCAGAGAAGTGACAGGGAAGCTACACGTTACAACAGATTTGTGAACTCAGCTAAGCACAGTGGTGGCAGGGCCTAGCTGCTACAAAGAAAACATGTTTTAGGGGTTGGGGAGGTGGCTCAGTAGAATAAGCACTTCCCTGGCCAGCTCAAGGGCCTGAGTTCAATCTCCAGTTCTGCAAAAAAGAAAATATGTTTTAGACAATACTCATGCATATGGGCAAAACACTCGAGGACTGTATTTGTGACTAATTGCATAACAGGTTATTTTAGTTTCTGTTCTGTGGAAAGTGTAAAGTATTCCAACAAATGGTTTTAACGTAGACCTTTTTTTGCACCCATGCTGTTGATTGCTAAATGTAAGAGTCTGATTATGACACTGAATAAATGTGTCTTTAAAGAGAGAGAGAGAGAGAGAGAGAGAGAGAGAGAGAGAGAGAGAGAGAAATCTGCACGCACTAAGACCAAAGAATCCAGCTGAGGGCCTGGATCCAATGACAATGTCTGGCAAGAGACCAGCCAAAGACCTACAGCCATAACAATGCCCACCATGAGTCCAACTGGAAGCCGAGTCCACAACAATGTCTCATGCAGATCTGTGCTAGGAAGGCCTAAAGGTCAGTAGTGGAAGATAGAAATTCTATGCCAGCAGGACAAAGGATCTGTGCTAGCAGGCTGAAAGATAGGAACTAGAGCCACAAGTGACACTCAACATAAGAACTAGAGCATCCCTGTAAAGGAAAGCCATCTCCAGCAACAGTGAGGTCTCAAGCTCTTCTAATGAAGACAACAGCTGAGCTCCTATCAGGAAGGCCAGTGTGAGAAGCTTCTCCAGAAGAATGAACTATGCACTATCTTCCCCTCTGGAGTCAGGAAGTGATACCCAAAACAAGGACCAGAGCTCATCAAAAATGAACCATAGCCATCTTCAGTGACACTAAGGTCCTCAGTTCCTTTGATGATGAGAACAGTCACATTCATCGGGAAAGCCAGCACGACAAGGTCCTCCAAGAGAACCAACAGCTGCCCCAGGAAAACCAACAGCTCTAACAGCTCTGAACAGCTTCTAAACTTCCCCAGTTCTCCCTCTTATGCTGCTGGCAACTCTCCTCAGGTGGGCCTCCCACACCCAGCACCACACTAATTCAGTTCAGCCAGATGTTATAAGTTGAGCACCAATTGTCAACCCAGCACACCATCTCTCCCTTTTGAGGAAGAGTATAGATGTCACATGATGCCAGCAAGCCCTCTGCATGGAATCTCTGATCATCCTGTTCCTCATTTTCCCATGTCTATGTAGTTGGCCAGTTTCAAGGAGTTCGTGGCAACACATCTAAGTCATGGGCTTTCTAAAAATCACATTCGATTTCACCTATGCTCTTGACCACTTGTTTTTTGCTATAAGTTCCAGAATGATTCAGTCAGCTTTCTAAACTCAACACTATGCAATCAGTAAAATTGTTTTGGTCATAGTCTTAGTCTAAGTCAGGCTCAGGGTGAGGAGTTAAAGCAATGTTTTATTATATTGTTCCATTTATATAAGACATCTACAGTTGTCAAACTTATAGAAATAGAAAGTTAAAATGGTAGTTTCTAGGGCCTTTGGGGAGGGGAAGGAGGGAAGTTAGTTAATAAGTATAGAGTTGAGATTTCACAAAGCAAAAAACCTCTGGACGTTGGTGAACAACAATGAATATATTTGTCATGTTTGGGATCTGATTTGTCCCCCAAAGTCTTCATTGTGTTGGAGGTTTTGTGGCTGATGAGCTTGGAAGAGGTGATTAGATCATGAGGGTTCTAACTCCATCCATGAATTTATCACAGAACCAGAAGGTTAGGCCTAGTCAGGGAGTATAGCTTGAGGGTTCAACCTGGTGGTCTTGATCTGGCCCCTGGCTCCTTCCTCCCCCTCTGGCCCCTTCCCTGTCTCTGTTTCCTGGATAAGCTGTATTAATCACCTTTGCTCCACCACCTTGCTGCCACAATGCTCAGCTTCGCTTCAGCCCACAGAAGTGGAACCAGGAGTTCATGGACCAAAACACAGGAAAGTGTGGACCGAAATAAACCTTTTTTCAAGCTGTTTATGTCAGCTATTTAGTTACAGTAGCAAAAAGCTGACATTACTGAGCTTATATCTTAAAATGATGAAGATGATTAGTTGTATGTTAAATGTATTTTACCGCAATTAAAATTCATATGGGTTACATGTATAGCTCAGTGTAGAGTGCTTGCCTAGCATGAGTAAGGTTCTTTGTGTGACAATAGCACTAAAAGAAAAACGCACAAAAAAAATATTTTTTGATTAAGAAAACTTTCATGAGACAAAATTCACCATCTCTTAACCACAACCTCTGGCATCTCAATAGCAGGCCACATGCAACACACAAAAGATAGCCAAGACAGAAGAAGGGAGAGAGAGAGGACAAGAAAGAGAGACAGACAGAAAGAAGAGAGAAGGGTCATCTGTGTTATTTTGAGCACATGTTGAAGACTAGAAAAAGTAGTTTTCACCCTTTGAAAGAGGAACTGATTCCCACCTCATGTGGTCAGAAATAAAAGGGATAAAGGGATCAACATTCATCTTCTTCTTCCTAGAGTGACGAGGGTAAAGCCTGAGATAAGGTCCCACTCTGAATAATTTTAAGCTCTTCTTGATCATTGCCAGCCTTTATATGAGTATTAAAATGATTTCTCAACAGCAGCTCACAGAAATTCCCCATATCTAAGTAAGGGAAGGAGCCCCGACTCTGCCCCCCGACACTGTGTTGCTGCCTGCAGAACACACTGGAAGAAGGACTAACTCTTACATCTACACTGCTGCATGCTCAGGTGGAAATCGCGAATTACTTTTAAAACCTTCTCCTTAATGTGCCCTGTGATGGCCTAACCCTCACTGTTGGCCTGATATCCAGAATACTTAGTGCTTGATGAAAAAGTATAAACCTTGGGAGCCACAGGTCCAAGTGAGCCCAGGACACCCACGTCCTTCCCCAGCTCAGTGTCCCCTGTGACGCTGTCTCTTCTGGGTGGATTCTAGCAATCCTGAGTGTTCTCTAAACCAAACTGTAGGTCTACTTTAGCCAGTTATTTTAATGTTTATGGATGGATAACATATATTCAGAAAAGTCCTCCAATCAGAAAGGCACAGAGTGATAGATTTTTCACAAACTGAACATTTCTGCACAACCAGCATTGTCTTACAAATCACCCTGCCAAGAGTAACTATTATATGGATGGTGCTGATTTCTTACATCATATATTAGTTTTGCCTCTTTTGGGGAATGTTTTACAAGTGGAATTGCAGACAGAAATCCCTAAATTCATGAGATTAATCCATTTTCTATATAACTGTAGCTTGTTTGTCTTCATTGCTGTGTAAAGCAAATATGCTGTGAAGTATTTCTCCCTTTTGCTATGGTTGTCCCCTCGCTTGCCCAGGACACTTCAGTCTGTGCTTGTACAGCAAATCTTTGTGCCTCAGTGACTATGGCCTTTTTGTAAAACCCCATGACTTGGTGGAAAGAACCACACACGCTCCCTGTTCACCCGTTGTCCTTGCCGGAGATTCCCAAATTCCATCTCTCAGTTCCAACCAACCATACCCTCACATAGGAATCAGGAAATTCATCTTTTCCTGAGAACAACACAATCTTTGTGTGTTTGTAGATATTCATTCCACTATATAAATTGTTTTTAAATATTATTTATTCTATCTAGTTCAGTTCTAGCCAAATAAGTTTTATTAGAGTTGTATCCATGTGCCAAGCATTGTATTACTTCCCTAGTTATGAAATAAATGAAGATACAGTCCCTGATTTGGGGGAACTTAGAGTTTATTAGAAATAAACATGTATATGATGCAACCATTCCCCTTCTAGGTCCATATTCAAAGGATATGAAACCAAAATATCATACCCAGATTTGTAACAATATTCACAACAGTTAAGACATTGAATGTGTAGA